GCCCCCCTAACCCGTGTGCCCCCAGCACTGCGCGTGGGGCCGTCGGTCCCCGACAGTCAGTGTGTTGTCCTCCGGCCACTAATGCACCCCGCTCACGGCCACGCGTGCACTGCCGAGCCCCGAGGGGACACGGTGACATCTGGGACTTCCCTGCTGGCCCTCCCAGTCCGACACGGTGACACCTGTGACTTCCCTGCTGGCCCTCCCAGTCTGACACGGTGACACCTGTGACTTCCCTGCTGGCCCTCCCAGTCCAACACGGTGACATCTGTGACTTCCCTGCTGGCCCTCTCAGTCCGACTGGGACAGCAGCGTCCCTGCCCGCTCAGCTGGCAGCACGGGGCTGGCAGGGCTTGTGGGAGGTCGGTGCTGGTGCCACACTTACACACCTGGGCCTCAACAAACCTTCTTAGGCATCTGAAAAGCAAGCAGAGAGCAGCTGCTGTGGTTGATCCACAGCCCAGGAGCTGCTCCTCCAAATGGCACTTTTCAGTAGATTGAGACTGGGATTTCAAGGGAGAACTTTGCTTTCTGCTCTGGGAAATCTGTTTGTATTTGACATTCTTGCTGTTGCACAGGGAACTTTTGGCAGAGCAGGGACTAGACCCAAAGAGGGTCTAGCCCGTCCTCTAGATGAGCTCTACGTTGCTTTCCCCTTCTTCCTTTCTCAGCCTTTTGGGAGGTCTCAAAAGCTAAACAGCCACAGATGAACAGCCCCACACAGAGGAAAAACCAACCAATCAACCAACCCAGCCCCCAGCTGTATTGATCTTGGAGGTATTTTAGGGAATTTCACAAGTGTGTAGGCAGGTCAGCTTAGAACAAGGCATGCAGTGGAATCTGTGCTCCAGTATAAACTTCAGGTCACTTCAGGCTTGGTCAGATTAAACACTGTTGCCCAAGGCTGACTTGAACCAACTGACCAGCAGCTGTGATATTAGTGACTGGGACCGTAGGCTTGCCTAAACAGTTCTCTAAATCCCAAATGACCTACTTCCACCTTTAGGCATCTAAAATACTTCCGAAATGTGCTCCTCACTCCTGCAGTCAGAGTGCAGGTGGTTCCTGGGACTCTGCTCTCTGTTCAGCTGTTGGGATGGGCTGTCGGCTGGTTCAGCCAAGCATTGGTGCCAAAAGTTCCTCTGGAATTGAGGAGAGCCCTGTCTCTCCAATGCTACTGGTTCTACCAGCAGGCCAATAGTAATGGATGTGGCTGGGGATGATTCCTGTCTCCTTCCAGTTGGCAATGGCTATTTTTGCTCAGTGTCTGTACAGCAGGAGGTTTGCCTGGACTGTGACCCTGCCTGTGAGGGCTGTGAGGAGTCAGGGAAGAGGATTCTCAGGGCTTGCTATGAGGCAGAGGCTGTACCTGATCTAGCTGGCCTTGCAGGATGTTTGGATATGATCCCAGTTCCAATGTTTGATGCCGTTCCCTTGCTGTTTCTAGCGCTTTTTGGCAGTTTCTGGCATATTCCAGCTGCTGCTGGGTCCTGCTAACCCTGCTCCCTGGGGAGGGGCCATGGCTGGATGTCCAGGGTGTGCTATGCCTCCCGGGCTCTACAGACCCCCTTCTGCCATACAGTAACTCTCGAGCTTTGTCTTCTCTCTTTCAGGCTCCTGTGGGCGAGTCTGGGACAGGAAATTCCAGGCGTGAAACCCCCTATTCACCCAGTAATCCACAGGTGAGACTGCCCCCTGGATAAGTGACACAGGAAAGGCAGGGAGGCACTTCCAGGGATGAAACGCAGAGGAAGCTGAGGGCGATTATCATCCTTCAGTGACACTGTCGAGGTGGAGGGGATCTGTCACAGGAGGCAACTAGAGAGCGAGGGAAGAGCTGCCTCCTTCAAAATGCCTCAGAGAGCTAGGAGGGTGATTAGCTGGTCATAAACAAGCTCTGAGAAGTGGCTTAATTCCAGGGTGATGAGATGGGGAGTACCTGGGATGGTACTACCTGTAGTTGTCAGTATTTTGGGAATGGCCTCACCAATGCCTTATACAGAGACCCTGGTAACTGGTATGTGGTAAGAAATGGAGGAGTCAGGGTTTGGAGAATGATCTCGGGTCTGTAAACCAGTGCTGCCCAGTGCTTCCCAGAGGATCCCTGGATCTGTGTGTGACACTGGAGGTGACCCATGTGAGCTGTTAGGAAGGAAGTGGAAGGACCCTGCACTCAGGAAATGATTTGCTACAGCTCCTTGCTCAGAGGTTTTCCTTCTGCAATGGGAAGTGTCTTTATTTCTTGTAACTTCTGATTATTTTTTCTTTATGAATATTACCTGTCCTCCCTCACTGTTCTTATTCGTTGTATCAGCTCTGATCTTTCCTTTTCAGTCTCTGAGTCTTTGCTCCCACTGTCCATCCTGTGGCAGGAGGTGTCACAGCTCAGTTGAACCTTTTGAAGTTAAATGATCTTAAATGGATTTTTTTAATTTTCCCTTCACAGCCATTACCTGTAACTGGGTTTTATACTGGGGGCTTGAGTGAACTGCAAGTTGTACTTTGTCCTCTGTCTGTAGTCGTTGTGGGTCTGTTGTGTTCCTTTTGGAGTCCAGCTGCTCTCCAGCTGTTTGGGAGTAGCTGTCCAGCTGCTCTCCCCACCGGCTCTAGCACTTCCCTGATCTTCAGTGGAGCCATTTCAGTTCTCAGAGCTGGAGAGGACTCTTGAGGTGAAGGGCTTTACCTTGGGGTGAGGTGACCAGTGACACGGGCTCAGGAGAAGGATTGAGACCACCTGCTGAAACTGTAGGAGCAGCACTTCAGTCCATCTCCTGTTACTCCTCGGCCTGTCTCACATCTCCCTCAGTTCTTGGATCCTTTGGAATTGAGTGTCCATCAGGAACACAACAAGATTAGAAGAGGATACGATTTGTTATAGCAACGCTATTTCAAGGCACTTTGTTCCAGCTGCATGTGTTTACCTATTTGCATTTCTGACAGCAGCTGCAAACTGGGTGAGGGTTTATTTTGGGCTGTTTGTAAGTTTTCCTTTTACCACAAGTGCCAGTTTTCTTTGAGATTGGTTTCCATGGATTCCCAGGATGGTTTGGGTGGGAAGGGACCTTCAAGACTATCTCGTTCCACACCCCTGTCATAGACAGGGACACCTCTCACTAGCCCAGGTTGCTCCAAGCCCTGTCCAACCTGACCTTGAACCCTTCCGGGGATGGGGCAGCCACAGCTTCTCTGAGCAACCTGTGCCAGGGCCTCCCCACCCTCCCAGGGAAGGATTTCTCCCCAATATCCCATCTAACCTTGCCTTCTTTCAATGGGAAGCCATTCCCTCTTGTCCTGGCACTCCAGGCTCTTGTCCAAAGTCCCTCTCCAGCTCTCCTGGAGTCCCTTTAGGCAATGGAAGGGGCTTTAAGGTCCCCCCAAGGCCTTCTTCAGGCTGAACACCCCCAGCTCTCTGCTTTTCTGAGGATTCAGGAGTCTTGTTCCTCCAGAGCAGAAGTTCCAAGGAATTGCATCTCTAATTCTCTGGCTCCATCTATTTTTACTGTTAATTCTTTGGTTTCAACATCGTGTAGTCCAGCCAGAATTTATTGGCTTATTTCAGAGAATTCCTGAGGGAAATGGAATCCTTTGTCCTGAGTTGGCGTCGAGCCTCTGTGAGGGGGTGAGGGGAGGCAGGAGGTGTTTGTGGTGGGTCTGTTTGTGCTGAGCAGGGCAGAGGGGCTTCCCCCGTGGTGGGCACCCCGACAGCTCCGAGTGCTGCAGTCTCTGTGCTTCTCTCCCACGGAAAACCCAGTGTCTCCATTTTCTCTCCCATTCTCTCCCCTGCTGATGCCCCTCTCCAGGTGCCCGCAGCCCCCCGGCCCCCTCACCTGGCCGGCAGGGAGACCCGCTTTGTAAGTGCTGCTGGTGTGCGGTGTGCGCTGCTGCTCCGGCTGCTCCCGCTGCCCGCGCCCCCTGCTCCGGCCCCGCGGGGACCTGGGGCTCTCTGGGGCTCCCCTGGGGCTCCCCTGGGGCTCGCTGAGGAAGCAGTGCCCTGCTGGCACCTGAGGCACAAGGGGCTGCTCCCTGTGAGCTGCTGCTGTGATGGCACCTGCGAGCGCTTCTGGGGAGGACCTGCAGTGGGATGGCTTTGCTCCGGCTTGGGGGCAAGTGCGGAGGGTGGGAATATGCCCAGGGAATGTGCCCATGGGCCAGGACCAGGAGATGTGCCTGTGGGCCAGGACCAGGGGCAGTGACCAAGGGCCAGGACCAGCCTAGAGCTGGGGTCAGAACCTGGAGATGTGCAGAGAGCTGAGGGCATCCTTGCATAGCAGAGGAGCTGCTCTGGCAGGTGAGCTCTGGCCTGTCCCCACTCAAAGAAGCAGGAATGGCGGGGTTTCTGTGGCATCTGGGAGTTCCCCAGACAGGGCAGGCAGTGGGGCAGAGGTAAACTAAAGGTTTTCAAGGTGGACTCCAGATTTACACCTGTATTTCTGTTTGCAGGCTTCCATTAACTTCATTACATCGCAGGATGACAGTAAATCAGTGAGTACAACTGTCCTGAGACCTGACTGTGGTGTCCCTGCACATCCCCCAGCACGTGGAGCTTGTCTCTTCCTCCTGTGGGTGCTCACTCCCACCCAGCCTTGCAGCTCCACTGTTGGCTCCTATTCTATTTCCTCCAGTCCTCCACTGTGCCTCAAGTTTGTACAAATGCACCAAGTCTTAATTATGATCCATTTGAAAACCCAACACAACTGTTTTTGCAGCTTATATTCCCGTTTCCACTCGTAGCTCCCACTCCTGGCGTTTTTGCTGGCTTACCCAACTCCTGCTGTCACTCTCTTTAGTGTCAGATGCTCTGTTCACTTCCACACAGCATCCAGCAGCGATGATGATGCCTAGGTCAAGTCTTAGACTCTTGCCTCTGCTCCTATAACTGCATTTCTAGTCAGAGCCCTGGCTGGGTCTGGTTCACTTCCATCTACAACTTCTGCCAGTTCCCAGTTCCTGGCTGATGTTTCCCTACTTCCACCCCCAGCGCTCACGTTCTCTGAAGTTCATCACACTCGTGCCATATCCTGCTGACCCTTGTAGCTGCTTCTTGTGTGGCAGATGCTCCCTTTTGGCCTTCTCCATAACCCACTGGTCCTGAGTGACCCTGACTTGGCTGAATCTCTTTTGGTGTTGGCCCCAGGAGCTCTCCTGCTGGTCTGGGTCCGGTAGCTGGAGCGGGCAGCACAGCTGAGGAATGGAGCTGGGGTGCATGGATTTGCATGGATTTGTTCATTCACCCGCATGGCAGACACCTCGCTGCCCTAACTGCTCATTTCTCTTCTCTCTTTCTCCCTCCCCCTCCTCTTCCTCTGCCTTTCCCTGGGGCACTGACACGAGCAGACCAAGCCCGGCGTCATTCAGCCTCTGTCCCGCGTGCGACAAAGCGCTGCCTCACACTCTGCGGAGGAGGGGGACAGCCCCAACCCCTTCCAGCAGCCCGAGCCATGCTTCAGGATCCACAACTCTGTAAGTGGCCTGGGGTTTCTCCCTGAAAGCCATTTCCCTGCCCTGGGTGCCGTGGTGCCACACGTTGTGGCTGGACACCCTCCCAGCAGTGATGGTGGGGTTTGATGACCACGTGCCTGAGCTGAGGCTGGTGGTGTCCATGCACCAGTCTGGGTACCCCGGGGAGGAGCCCTCACTCCTCACAGGCAGGGCAAGGTCAGTGCATCCCACTCATTTCTCTGGGCCTCCCCAGCTGCCCCGTGTCTCCCCGTCCCAGGAGTCAGCAATGCTGAAGCTGTTGTGGCCAAAATCCCCAGAGCAGGGACAGGTTGAGAGCCATATTTGTGAGGTGTTAAGTTCTGTGGAGACATAAATCCTACAGAACCCGTCAGTATCTGGCACCTTGGAGCAAGAACCAATACCATCCTGCTGATGGATTTTAAGATTTACAGAATTATTATTTTTGAAAAGTTCATATTCCCAGGACTATTTGTTGATGGGAGAGAAAGATTCAGGTGTTTTGGTCTTTGTCGTGCCAGAAGAAGTGGAAGGAATAGTGGAAGGTGTCCCTGCCCACGGCAGGGGGCTGGGACTGGATGTACTTTAAGTCCCTTCCCACCCAAACCATCCTGGGATTCCATGGATCCAGCCCTTCCATCTCTACTGGAGCTTGTATGACATGATACCAAACCAGAGGTGTGGTTTGCAGACAAAGAGCTGTACAGAACCCATGGAATTGGCCATGGTTCACATTTTACAGTCTCTTCTGATCTCGCTGTGCTGTCCTTCAGCCTGTGCAGAAGGAACATGATCAAACCACATATTTTAGCCTCAGCCCAGAACAAAGAAAAAGTACAAAGGCCTGGAACTGGATTAGTGCATCTGGAGGGTTGGAGTGATGAATAGCAAAGGAGTATTTGTTTTCCAGCAGAAGGAAGGTTGGGGTGTCATTGTCCCCCATCCCATTAATTTCTGTGATGCTTTGAGCAGGTCACCCCAACTGTGCTTCCCCCCAGACATGGCAGGAGGAGTCATGGGGAAGGTGGGTGAGGAAAGGACCAGCAAAGGCAGTGACAAGCAGTAGGAAGGTCCCTCAGACTTTGTCAGATGTTTCTGAGTAAGTGGAATCCTGCAAAGGAAATATATGAGATGAAAGGCAGATCTCCTCACAGATTACAGATGCTTGAATCAGATCATGGAACCACAGGGTGGTTTGGGTCGGATGGGACCTTAAAGACCATCTTGTTCCACTCCCTGCCATGGGCAGGGACACCTTCCACTAGAAGGAATCTTAGTAGAGGTCAGAATCAACCATGTAACTGTTCCAGCCCCCAAACCCCTGATTCAGGTAGGCACATGCTGGTTGAATTGGGTGGAAGTCCTCAAGGACTGTGACAGCAATGTGGCCCTTGGCCAGGAGATCCATCACAACATTCCTGTCAGGTCAGTGAGGATCTGTGCCACGACAAGTACCATTCCTCCACCATCCAGGAAATAAAACAGGGCTGTGACCCACATACACTATGTGTAGTGTATGTGTAGTGTATGTGCAGTACTTTGCTCCTCGTGTTCCTGCCCAAGGCTCAGGAGCAGCCTTGGCAAGGCTTATGTGTTCCCTTACACGTTCCTTTCCGTATCCCACTCGTCGGGCTCTGCAGGCCGAGAGCTGGGCTGTGTTTCCCCCGTGTGGGTTTTGTCACACCACCTGTGCTCACCTTTACCTCCTGTCTGTCCCCGTAGCAAAAGCCACCGTCGCCACCCTCCCCTGACGAGGTCCCCATCAATGTCAAGCAGGCCTACAAGACCTTCGCAGCAGTGCCCCTGTCCCACCCGCTGCTCGGGACACAGGTAACTCGTGCTGCTGGGGGGCTGCTCCAGCACAGGGGTGAGCAGAGCAGGTGTGAGAAGGGAAGGAGGTGGTGATTTGTTCCCTCCAAAGCAAGCTGCCGTGGAGAAGGGGGATGTTGAGGTCCTGTGGAAGTTGGCGTCTGTCCGTGATGCAGATGGTCACCCTGCAGAGTGTATCTGTGCCTGCGAGTGTATCAGGTCCTGGAATCTCACAGCACCGCTGTTCTCCTTGGACATTGGGATGCTGATGTACAACCAAGCTGTTCTCATACAAAGGAACTCTGAAATTCCAGAGTCCAGGGCCAGGCTAAACCTATGCTGAGCCATTTTTGAGTGGATTTTGATTTTGAGCTTCACTGGAACTATTTTTTCTCCCCTCCATGTAGCAGAATCATGGAACAGTTCAGGTTAGGTGAGGCCTTGGACGTCATTGCCTTAGTCTCCCATGCAAAACAGCACAACCTTGGAAGTTAGAATCATTGAATAATGGAATGTCCTGAGTTGGAAGAGACCCATAAGGGTCATCAAGTCCAGCTCCTGGCTCTGCATAGGACACCCCCAAGAATCCCACCATGTGCCTGAGAGCATTGTCCAAATGCATCCAAAGTTGTAAGAGGTTGCTCAGGCCCATCCCCTTGAGTTCTGAATTCCCAAAATCAGAGATTCTGAGGACACTGTGGGCACTCTGCTGTGAAGAGTTTTTTTTCTGTTTTATTGAATTTCTTTTACCACAGATTATGTCTTCTGCTTATCCCTTACTGGACATCTCTGAGGAGCCTGACCTTGGCTCTGTAACTCCTCTAGGGATGCAGGAATTAGATCCCCCTCCCCTGAGCCTCCTCTTCTAGGCTGAACAAACACAGCCCTCTGAACCTGTTCTCAAATGTCACCTCCTGCAACCCCTGTGCCATTTTGCTGGCATCCCCTTGATGTGGTGTGGTTTGTTGGTGTCCTCCACATCCCAGGGAGCCCCAGTCTGGGCTCGCTGCCCTCGAGGTGCCCTAAGCCTGCTGCATCCCCTCCCATACCATCCTCCCTGCCCATCCTTCCTGAGGAGCCTGTGTCCGTGCATGCCAGCTCCAGCTGGGTGAGAGCTCTGGAGCTGTCTGACATGGGCAGTCGTTTACTAAAGGAGCAGAACCCTGTGGCAGAACCCCTTTGGCGCTTCGGGGCCCTCTGCTCTCGGGATCACCTCACTGCTTCCCTTTTCCCTATTCCTGTCTTCTTCTTGCTGGCTCATTCTTGCTGCAAATGAGATCCTGTTTCACAGATGGCTTTCTACTGCGGTGTTGCTTCTTCATTTCCTTTCCTTCCTCTTCTTTCCCTCCTCTCCTTTCCCTTTCTTTCCTTTTCCATGTTCATGCTGGAAGCTGTGGCTGTCCTACAATGACTTGTGACAGCCACTTTGTGCCCTCCCATGTCCCTTGTCCTCACCTGCCCTCACCTTGATCTGGTTTGGTACGTCAAGAGGGGTCACAGTCTGTCTCTGCTGTTTGTAGGCTTGATTTTTGTCCATTTTAGCTTTATTGACTGATTTCCTCAGAGTTAATGACTGTCAGACAACCTCAGGGAAGATGTAGCAAAGCAGGATGAACAGGAGGTGGACCTGGTCTCTGTTGGCATCTGCCATCCCCCAGGTGACCCAAGCTCATGGTCAGGTGTGCCTTGTGCACAGAAGTGTTTCCAGCATCACCGTCTCCAGCTGATGCATCACAGGTTGAGGAACAACAACTGCTCCTGTGGGAGATCACCTGGCAGTTTGCATTATTGAGGGAAATTCTTTTCGTCCCCTTAAATTATTTTTGTTTAATTACATTTGTCCATTGAACTTGGATAGACTGATAACTCCACTGCTCAACTTATCTCTGCCTGCTTCTGGATTTTTAGGAATATATCAACTATTGTTTTAGGCATGAACTTCCACCCAATTAAAAGTCCATTAAATATCCATGTATGTCAGATGGGCATTGTCACAAGTCATTCCACTCAGAGTTATTGTGCAGGGATTGTCCTGGTCCTGCAGGTTTGTGTTGAGCTCTTGGCTTTGCTTCTGTGGTAGCAGCAATAATTCCTGTTTTCAGACATTTGCTTCTTTGCTAGAAGCTTTTTTTTTGCCTTTTTCAGCTCCTTCCCTTCGCTATTATTGTACTCCATATTATACAAAATTAAAACTTCCTGTTAGTTTTTGGAGTGTGTTTGGATAAAGCCAAAGGTCATCTCCTTTCTCTCTTATTGTGGGTCCTTTCAATTTGTCTAATTAAAAAACTTACATCTTTTCCATAACTTGTTGGCAGTTCTCAGTTTACCCCTATGGATTCCTCAGTCACAGATGGTGATTCTCTGGACCCTCTCTTCCCCCTGTAGTTTTACTCATCCAATATTCTGTTCTTTATCCTGGTAAAAGTGGTAAGTTTTGGGTGGTTTTATCTTTGATGTAAGGAAGATGTAAGTGAGCCCCATCCAGCTCCTGTGAACTCTCTCCAGCTCCAGCTCAGCCCCTGCTCCTGTTCTCCACCTGTTTCATGTTTTTCAGTTTCTGCTCTTTCAGAAGTTGTCACACCTGGTTCTGTTTAACCCTCAATTTAATGTAAATCCTCATTCCTGACTGTCGCTGAGCCTGACTTGTTAATTCTGTGCGAATTGCGGGACTGTTTTGGGAGCCTCCGTCAGCTCACATGGCTGGAAGATGGGGGTGGGTGGAAACTTTCCTTTTAAAATGTGCCTGTTTCTCTCTGTCCTTAGGAATTGTCTGGTCAGAGCAGCACAGAGAACACCAAAATGGCCTCGGAGGTGAGTTTTGGGGCTAGGGCTGGAAAGAGGGTGGGAGTCAGGAGGATGTGGGGGCTGTGATGAGGAGATGGGCTCACAGCTTGGGGGGGCTGGGGAGGAGGAGAAGGGTGTGGAGCAGGAGGCAGAGTAAGGGTTGGGGTGGCATGGGGAGGGTG